TATTCAAGAGTTTTTTTCCTATAAATTTATATGTTTTCTGTTAATGAATGAAGTAAATCGATAAAACTCAACGATACGAAAGCTTTTAAGGAAGGATGATAACGCTTAACATATCGCATCATCATATCGCCTGTCGCTATCCTTTTCGCTTCCCTTTCGTTTTCTCCTGTTACTTACAGTTTACTTTCTAATTGCAGATAATAGTACGTGCTGCAGTGTTTTGGTTCATACTCTCATTCGGATATCCAACAAGGCACTTGACCCATTGTGCTCAATTTTGCTAACAGAACGCAAATCTCCAGACATCTTCCATCTATTTCGCATAACTACGCAATAAGTAGGCAAAATAAATCAACCACCCGAAAAAATCGTAAAAAATGGTTGAATAAGTCAAGGAAATTTTTTCAATTTAAACAGTCGAGTGATCGAAAATTTTTTTAATTTATTGATTTATAGATAAGAAGAATAAAGAGAAAATTTCTATTTGAGTGGCACAAGTTTTTGCGCTCTTCTTGTAAAATTCGATAAGTTCGCATAAATATCTTCAAGCAATTTAATTTTGCTTACGTGACGTTTAAAATATTGTAAACAGATGCATAAAAGTGGTTCGCGCTATCGGTGAGTTGACGTATTTACTTATACATGCATATATGTATAGATACCAGCTTCACATGCCTGTTTATCTTAAGTGCTAAAACACTTTCGCGCGAGTGTACGTCTCCGTATTATTTATCAATCTAATTTCAGCAGTATAAACTCAAAATAATACTTGTGACAAATTCGAGGCGCCAAGCTGGCACCGCATGAATATTTCTCTACTTCAAAATCATCAATAAGAAAAAGCTCGGCTTGTTCCGAGATACTTTTCTACTCCGAAATAATCAATAAGGACAGTTTTCTTGCGCCGAGATACCTTCCTACTTCGAAATCATCGATAAAACATGCTTTCTTGCTACGAGACATTTTCCTATTCCAAATTTTGTCAATAACGAGAGATTTCCCGCACCGAAATATTTTCCCACTTCAAAATCATCAATAAAAAAAAGCTTTCTTACTCCGAGATACTTTTCTACTCCAAAATCAACAATAAACAAAGTTTTCTTGTTTCAAGACATTTTTCAAAATTATCAATAAGGACAGTTTTTCTTGCTTCAAGATAATTTTTTATTCTGAAATCATCAATAGAGAAAACTTTCTTGCTCCGAGAAATTTTTTTTACTCCAAAAGCAACGATAAACAGATTTTGTGCTCGAGATATTTTCCAAAATCGTCAATAAGGAAAGGTTTTCTTGTTCTAAAATATTTTCCTATTCCAAAATCATCAGTTAAAGAAAGTTTCTCGCTCCGAAATATTTCCCTGCTCGAAAATCATAAATAGGACGAACTGTTTTGCTCCGAGATACTTTTTCTACTCCAAAATCAACAATAAAACAGAGCTTTTTTACTCCGAAATATTTTTTCACTTCAAAATCATCAATAAGGACAATTTTCTTACTCCAAGGTACTTTTCTGTTCTGAAAATCACTGCGAGTCTTCTTTCCTGCTTCAAAGAGTGTTGCTCCAAGATCACTAATGAGGAAGTCTCTTTCGCACACGCAACAGCGAGAAAGCGAGATAAGGCGTAATATATTTAACTATTCAGCGATTATTGCGAACTCTCTTATTCCTATAAACAGCCTTTTTTTCCTGTTACTTATCTTACCGAACAATCGAAGAGCTGTTGCCAACCGACTGTCTATCCGCGCTTGCACCTGCCCGGGTCCTGAGCGGTTTCGCAAAGTGGCGCAGCGAGAAACGTCTTCAGCCACTTTATATTGCAAATAACAGTATCTAGACAGTTAACATCATATCTTTAACAACGCTTCTTTTTCTCTCTTTCTTTCTCTCTCCCTCTTTTGCCCCTCTCCTTCTCCCACCTCTCAAAATCGCTCCTCTCTCTCTCTCTCTCTCACTCTCGTCGAGGCAGCGACTACGTCATCAAGAAGAACGTGGGGTTCTGACTTCGAATGAGGTCTGACTTTCTGATCTAAATCCCTTGGAGATAAAACGAAGAAGTGAAGGAAACGAAGGGACTCACCGGTTCGCCGACGAGCGTCACATCTCCACACCGCTTAGGATGTTGCTGACTGGCGCCTTCTTCCTCGTCGTCGTGATCGTGATGATTGTCGTCGTGCTGGCGGTTTTTTCCACCTCCCTCCAGCACTCCAGAGTAATCCAACTCAGGCTGGGATTATGATCTTTCTCTGGAGTGATATCACTGCGCCGCGGCGGACAAAGCCATCTTGAAGAGGGCACGCACGCACAAACGGCACAGCCTGCCTCTAATCGCGACGGTCAGGTCCTCTTGCCAGGACAGGAGGCGGCTGAATGAGAACACAGCCCGGTAGAAGCGTTTGCTACGATGGCGCCACAAGTCGACTACTGTATCCGCCATTGCTGCCGCCTTCGCCATCATCGCTTCGTCGTTCCAGGTGGTCGTTGCCACATCGATGCTATTGGTACTGCCGATTATCTCTATTGGCTGTGATGATCGCCAATGGCAGGGTGATAAAGTCTGACGAAT